TGTGGGTTCAAACCCCAGCCTGATAATAAAATAATTGGTTTTCAATTTGAAGTTAAAGAAGAATTTAAGACGTTGAAGTACAGAGGGTGAAATTCCAATGTGGAGTCTGTTGCAGTAAAAATTAACCAGGTTTCCGACCAGGATGGCCGAGTGGTTAAGGCGTTGGACTTAAGATCCAATGGACAAATGTCCTCGTGGGTTCAAACCCCACTCCTGGTAATAAAATATTGGTATTCAATTTGTAGTTTAAGCAGAAATCCAATGGACAAAATGTCTTTGTTGCGTTGGACTTAAGATCAAATGGAAAAATGTCCTTGTGGGTTCAAACCCCAGCCTGGTACTAAAATAATTGGTTTTCAATTTGAAGTTTAAGAAGAAATTTAGAGGTTGAAATACAGAGGGTCAAATTCCAATGTGGAGTATTTTGCAGTAAAAACAATTCTGGTTTCAACCCAACACCTTAAAGTGTTAAATTCAATAGTGGGAGTCTGTTGCAGTAAAAATTAAACAGGTTTCCCACCAGGATGGCCGAGTGGTTAAGGCGTTGGACTTAAGATCCAATGGACAAATGTCCTCGTGGGTTCAAACCCCACTCCTGGTAATAAAATAATGGTTTTCAATTTGTAGTAAATCCAATGGACAAAATGTCTTTGTTGCGTTGGACTTAAGATCAAATGGAAAATGTCCTTGTAGGTTCAAACCCCAGCCTGGTAATAAAATAATTGGTTTTCAATTTTAAGTTAAGAAGAATTTAAGAGGTTGAAGTACAGAGGGTGAAATTCCAATGTGGAGTATTTTGCAGTAAAAACAATTCTGGTTTCAACCCAACACCTTAAAGTGTTAAATTCAATAGTGGGGGTTTGCTGCACAATAAACTAACCAGGTTTACCACCAGGATGGCCGAGTGGTTAAGGCGTTGGACTTAAGATCCAATGGACAAATGTCCTCGTGGGTTCAAACCCCACTCCTGGTAATAAAATAATGGTTTTTAATTTGTAGTTTAAGAATAAATCCAATGGACAAAATGTCTTTGTTGCGTTGGACTTAAGATCAAATGGAAAATGTCCTTGTGGGTTCAAACCCCAGCCTGGTAATAAAATAATTGGTTTTCAATTTGAAGTTTAAGAAGAATTTAAGAGGTTGAAGTACTGAGGGTGAAATTCCAATGTGGAGTCTGTTGCAGTAAAAATTAACCAGGTTTCCCACCAGGATGGCCGAGTGGTTAAGGCGTTGGACTTAAGATCCAATGGACAAATGTCCTCGTGGGTTCAAACCCCACTCCTGGTAATAAAATAATGTTTTTCAATTTGTAGTAAATCCAATGGACAAAATGTCTTTGTTGCGTTGGACTTAAGATCAAATGGAAAATGTCCTTGTGGGTTCAAACCCCAGCCTGATAATAAAATAATTGGTTTTCAATTTGAAGTTAAAGAAGAATTTAAGACGTTGAAGTACAGAGGGTGAAATTCCAATGTGGAGTCTGTTGCAATAAAAATTAACCAGGTTTCCGACCAGGATGGCCGAGTGGTTAAGGCGTTGGACTTAAGATCCAATGGACAAATGTCCTCGTGGGTTCAAACCCCACTCCTGGTAATAAAATATTGGTATTCAATTTGTAGTTTAAGCAGAAATCCAATGGACAAAATGTCTTTGTTGCGTTGGACTCAAGATCAAATGGAAAATGTCCTTGTAGGTTTAAACCCCAGCCTGGTAATAAAATAATTGGTTTTCAATTTTAAGTTAAGAAGAATTTAAGAGGTTGAAGTACAGAGGGTGAAATTCCAATGTGGAGTATTTTGCAGTAAAAACAATTCTGGTTTCAACCCAACACCTTAAAGTGTTAAATTCAATAGTGGGGGTCTGCTGCAGAATAAACTAACCAGGTTTACCACCAGGATGGCCGAGTGGTTAAGGCGTTGGACTTAAGATCCAATGGACAAATGTCCTCGTGGGTTCAAACCCCACTCCTGGTAATAAAATAATGGTTTTTAATTTGTAGTTTAAGAATAAATCCAATGGACAAAATGTCTTTGTTGCATTGGACTTAAGATCAAATGGAAAATGTCCTTGTGGGTTCAAACCCCAGCCAGGTAATAAAATAATTGGTTTTCAATTTTAAGTTAAGAAGAATTTAAGAGGTTGAAGTACAGAGGGTGAAATTCCAATGTGGAGTCTGTTGCAGTAAAAATTAACCAGGTTTCCCACCAGGATGGCCGAGTGGTTAAGGCGTTGGACTTAAGATCCAATGGACAAATGTCTTCGTGGGTTCAAACCCCACTCCTGGTAATAAAATAATGGTTTTCAATTTGTAGTAAATCCAATGGACAAAATGTCTTTGTTGCGTTGGACTTAAGATCAAATGGAAAATGTCCTTGTGGGTTCAAACCCCAGCCTGGTAATAAAATAATTGGTTTTCAATTTTAAGTTAAGAAGAATTTAAGAGGTTGAAGTACAGAGGGTGAAATTCCAATGTGGAGTGTTTTGCAGTAAGAACAATTCTGGTTTCAACCCCACACCTTAAAGTGTTAAATTCAATAGTGGGGGTCTGCTGCAGAATAAACTAACCAGGTTTACCACCAGGATGGCCGAGTGGTTAAGACGTTGGACTTAAGATCCACTGGACAAATGTCCTCGTGGGTTCAAACCCCACTCCTGGTAATAAAATAATGGTTTTAAATTTGTAGTTTAAGAAGAAATCCAATGGACAAAATGTCTTTGTTGCATTGGACGTAAAATCAAATGGAAAATGTCCTTGTAGGTTCAAACCCCAGCCTGGTAATAAAATAATTGGTTTTCAATTTGAAGTTTAAGAAGAATTTAAGAGGTTGAAATACAGAGGGTAAAATTCCAATGTGGAGTATTTTGCAGTAAAAACAATTCTGGTTTCAACCCAACACCTTAAAGTGTTAAATTCAATAGTGGGAGTCTGTTGCAGTAAAAATTAACCAGGTTTCCCACCAGGATGGCCGAGTGGTTAAGGCGTTGGACTTAAGATCCAATGGACAAATGTCCTCGTGGGTTCAAACCCCACTCCTGGTAATAAAATAATGGTTTTCAATTTGTAGTAAATCCAATGGACAAAATGTCTTTGTTGCGTTGGACTTAAGATCAAATGGAAAATGTCCTTGTGGGTTCAAACCCCAACCTGATAATAAAATAATTGGTGTTCAATTTGAAGTTAAGAAGAATTTAAGAGGTTGAAGTACAGAGGGTGAAATTCCAATGTGGAGTGTTTTGCAGTAAGAACAATTCTGGTTTCAACCCCACACCTTAAAGTGTTAAATTCAATAGAGGGGGTCTGCTGCAGAATAAACTAACCAGGTTTACCACCAGGATGGCCGAGTGGTTAAGGCGTTGGACTTAAGATCCAATGGACAAATGTCCTCGTGGGTTCAAACCCCACTCCTGGTAATAAAATATTGGTTTTCAATTTGTAGTAAATCCAATGGACAAAATGTCTTTGTTGCGTTGGACTTAAGATCAAATGGAAAATATCCTTGTGGGTTCAAACCCCAGCCTGATAATAAAATAATTGGTTTTCAATTTGAAGTTTAAGAAGAATTTAAGACGTTGAAGTACAGAGGGTGATATTCCAATGTGGAGTCTGTTGCAGTAAAAATTAACCAGGTTGCCCACCAGGATGGCCGAGTGGTTAAGGCGTTGGACTTAAGATCCAATGGACAAATGTCTTCGTGGGTTCAAACCCCACTCCTGGTAATAAAATAATGGTTTTCAATTTGTAGTAAATCCAATGGACAAAATGTCTTTGTTGCGGTGGACTTAAGATCAAATGGAAAATGTCCTTGTGGGTTCAAACCCCAGCCTGGTAATAAAATAATTGGTTTTCAATTTGAAGTTTAAGAAGAATTTAAGAGGTTGAAGTACTGAGGGTGAAATTCCAATGTGGAGTCTGTTGCAGTAAAAATTAACCAGGTTTCCCACCAGGATGGCCGAGTGGTTAAGGCGTTGGACTTAAGATCCAATGGACAAATGTCCTCGTGGGTTCAAACCCCACTCCTGGTAATAAAATAATGTTTTTCAATTTGTAGTAAATCCAATGGACAAAATGTCTTTGTTGCGTTGGACTTAAGATCAAATGGAAAATGTCCTTGTGGGTTCAAACCCCAGCCTGATAATAAAATAATTGGTTTTCAATTTGAAGTTAAAGAAGAATTTAAGACGTTGAAGTACAGAGGGTGAAATTCCAATGTGGAGTCTGTTGCAGTAAAAATTAACCAGGTTTCCGACCAGGATGGCCGAGTGGTTAAGGCGTTGGACTTAAGATCCAATGGACAAATGTCCTCGTGGGTTCAAACCCCACTCCTGGTAATAAAATATTGGTATTCAATTTGTAGTTTAAGCAGAAATCCAATGGACAAAATGTCTTTGTTGCGTTGGACTTAAGATCAAATGGAAAAATGTCCTTGTGGGTTCAAACCCCAGCCTGGTACTAAAATAATTGGTTTTCAATTTGAAGTTTAAGAAGAAATTAAGAGGTTGAAATACAGAGGGTCAAATTCCAATGTGGAGTATTTTGCAGTAAAAACAATTCTGGTTTCAACCCAACACCTTAAAGTGTTAAATTCAATAGTGGGAGTCTGTTGCAGTAAAAATTAAACAGGTTTCCCACCAGGATGGCCGAGTGGTTAAGGCGTTGGACTTAAGATCCAATGGACAAATGTCCTCGTGGGTTCAAACCCCACTCCTGGTAATAAAATAATGGTTTTCAATTTGTAGTAAATCCAATGGACAAAATGTCTTTGTTGCGTTGGACTTAAGATCAAATAGAAAATGTCCTTGTAGGTTCAAACCCCAGCCTGGTAATAAAATAATTGGTTTTCAATTTTAAGTTAAGAAGAATTTAAGAGGTTGAAGTACAGAGGGTGAAATTCCAATGTGGAGTATTTTGCAGTAAAAACAATTCTGGTTTCAACCCAACACCTTAAAGTGTTAAATTCAATAGTGGGGGTTTGCTGCAGAATAAACTAACCAGGTTTACCACCAGGATGGCCGAGTGGTTAAGGCGTTGGACTTAAGATCCAATGGACAAATGTCCTCGTGGGTTCAAACCCCACTCCCTGGTAATAAAATAATGGTTTTTAATTTGTAGTTTAAGAATAAATCCAATGGACAAAATGTCTTTGTTGCGTTGGACTTAAGATCAAATGGAAAATGTCCTTGTGGGTTCAAACCCCAGCCTGGTAATAAAATAATTGGTTTTCAATTTGAAGTTTAAGAAGAATTTAAGAGGTTGAAGTACTGAGGGTGAAATTCCAATGTGGAGTCTGTTGCAGTAAAAATTAACCAGGTTTCCCACCAGGATGGCCGAGTGGTTAAGGCGTTGGACTTAAGATCCAATGGACAAATGTCCTCGTGGGTTCAAACCCCACTCCTGGTAATAAAATAATGTTTTTCAATTTGTAGTAAATCCAATGGACAAAATGTCTTTGTTGCGTTGGACTTAAGATCAAATGGAAAATGTCCTTGTGGGTTCAAACCCCAGCCTGATAATAAAATAATTGGTTTTCAATTTGAAGTTAAAGAAGAATTTAAGACGTTGAAGTACAGAGGGTGAAATTCCAATGTGGAGTCTGTTGCAATAAAAATTAACCAGGTTTCCGACCAGGATGGCCGAGTGGTTAAGGCGTTGGACTTAAGATCCAATGGACAAATGTCCTCGTGGGTTCAAACCCCACTCCTGGTAATAAAATAATGGTTTTTAATTTGTAGTTTAAGAATAAATCCAATGGACAAAATGTCTTTGTTGCGTTGGACTTAAGATCAAATGGAAAATGTCCTTGTGGGTTCAAACCCCAGCCTGGTAATAAAATAATTGGTTTTCAATTTGAAGTTTAAGAAGAATTTAAGAGGTTGAAGTACTGAGGGTGAAATTCCAATGTGGAGTCTGTTGCAGTAAAAATTAACCAGGTTTCCCACCAGGATGGCCGAGTGGTTAAGGCGTTGGACTTAAGATCCAATGGACAAATGTCCTCGTGGGTTCAAACCCCACTCCTGGTAATAAAATAATGTTTTTCAATTTGTAGTAAATCCAATGGACAAAATGTCTTTGTTGCGTTGGACTTAAGATCAAATGGAAAATGTCCTTGTGGGTTCAAACCCCAGCCTGATAATAAAATAATTGGTTTTCAATTTGAAGTTAAAGAAGAATTTAAGACGTTGAAGTACAGAGGGTGAAATTCCAATGTGGAGTCTGTTGCAGTAAAAATTCACCAGGTTTCCGACCAGGATGGCCGAGTGGTTAAGGCGTTGGACTTAAGATCCAATGGACAAATGTCCTCGTGGGTTCAAACCCCACTCCTGGTAATAAAATATTGGTATTCAATTTGTAGTTTAAGCAGAAATCCAATGGACAAAATGTCTTTGTTGCGTTGGACTTAAGATCAAATGGAAAAATGTCCTTGTGGGTTCAAACCCCAGCCTGGTACTAAAATAATTGGTTTTCAATTTGAAGTTTAAGAAGAAATTAAGAGGTTGAAATACAGAGGGTCAAATTCCAATGTGGAGTATTTTGCAGTAAAAACAATTCTGGTTTCAACCCAACACCTTAAAGTGTTAAATTCAATAGTGGGAGTCTGTTGCAGTAAAAATTAAACAGGTTTCCCACCAGGATGGCCGAGTGGTTAAGGCGTTGGACTTAAGATCCAATGGACAAATGTCCTCGTGGGTTCAAACCCCACTCCTGGTAATAAAATAATGGTTTTCAATTTGTAGTAAATCCAATGGACAAAATGTCTTTGTTGCGTTGGACTCAAGATCAAATGGAAAATGTCCTTGTAGGTTTAAACCCCAGCCTGGTAATAAAATAATTGGTTTTCAATTTTAAGTTAAGAAGAATTTAAGAGGTTGAAGTACAGAGGGTGAAATTCCAATGTGGAGTATTTTGCAGTAAAAACAATTCTGGTTTCAACCCAACACCTTAAAGTGTTAAATTCAATAGTGGGGGTCTGCTGCAGAATAAACTAACCAGGTTTACCACCAGGATGGCCGAGTGGTTAAGGCGTTGGACTTAAGATCCAATGGACAAATGTCCTCGTGGGTTCAAACCCCACTCCTGGTAATAAAATATTGGTTTTCAATTTGTAGTTTAAGCAGAAATCCAATGGACAAAATGTCTTTGTTGCGTTGGACTTAAGATCAAATGGAAAATGTTTTAATAATTGGTTTTCAATTTTAAGTTAAAGAAGAATTTAAGACGTTGAAGTACAGAGGGTGAAATTCCAATGTGGAGTCTGTTGCAGTAAAAGTTAACCAGGTTTCCCACCAGGATGGCCGAGTGGTTAAGGCGTTGGACTTAAGATCCAACGGACAAATTTCCTCGTGGGTTCAAACCTCACTCCTGGTAATAAAATAATTGGTTTTCAATTTGAAGTTTAAGAAGAATTTAAGAGATTGAAGTACAGAGGGTGAAATTCCAATGTGGAGTCTGTTACAGTAAAAATTAACCAGGTTTCCCACCAGGATGGCCGAGTGGTTAAGGCGTTGGACTTAAGATCCAACGGACAAATTTCCTCGTGGGTTCAAACCTCACTCCTGGTAATAAAATAATTGGTTTTCAATTTGTAGTTTAAGCCGAAATCCAATGGACAAAATGTCTTTGTTGCGTTGGACTTAAAATTAAATCCTTAAGTCTCCCAGGTCTCCCAGGTTTACCGTTTTTGAATGCTTTCAGCCGATCTCCGGTTTTCGCGGTACCACTTTTAGCATAGCTTAGCATACATCATTGAAGTGCACAAGACCATTAGCATTTCTCAAAAAAAAAAATGACCAAAGTGTTTAGATATTTTTCCTATTTAAAACTTGACTCTTCTGTAGTTACATTGTGCGCTCAACAGTTTAACTCTGGGGGAGTAGTAAAATTAGCCTATTTCCAAAAAAAATGTGGATTATCCCTTTAAGATCAAATTGAAAAATGTCCTTGTGGGTTCAAACCCCACTCCTGGTAATAAAATAATTGGTTTTCAATTTGAAGTTTAAGAAGAATTTAAGAAGTTGAATTACAGAGGGTCAAATTCCAATCTGCAGTATTTTGCAGTAAAACAATTCTGGTTTCAACCCCACTCCTTGTAATAAAATTGAGTTTTTCAAGCTTTTTAAGCACTAATTGTGCATTTAAAAAGTTCAAATGTGAGGGTCTCTTGCAGTAAATAAAATAGTTGTGTCCCAACCAGTGGACAAATATCATCATGGGTGTCATTAGTCCAACATCTTGAAGTGGAAATAGCAGTTGCACGGTTTTGACTGGGTGGGATTAGATAAAATTCCTGTGAGAATTAAACTGTCCATCGGTCAATTGCATGAAACTGGCGGTTTGCTTAGCTTCTTATCTAACCACATTAGTGTTTCTGAAGGGCAGTATTGGAACAGGCTGGACAAAGAGCAATCATATCCTCTCCATCTCACAGTATCTCAAAGATGCATTTCTAATTGGCACAGACTCCAGATCCGTATCATAGTGTTGGCCTTGGTGTTCAGTACACTTTGTCTCAGGCTGTGCAACCTTCGGACACTATACAGTAGCTAGTCCACAATCCAGCCCTGACAGGATTCATACAGATTAATTGCTGAAAATACAGATTAATGCAGTCTTGACATAAGCCTTCAGTTGAATTTTAGCCATTACCAAAACACTTTTACCTCTCAGAACATGGGAGCTATATAAAATGTAATATAAATAAAATATTTGATTTATTTTATTTTATTAATGGACTTTTTAGGAAAAAGCTTGCTATCTTTAAATGTATTGTTTATTATTAAAATAACGTTGTGAAACCTGTGGAATTGTAATTATTATGATTTATAAACATTGTTATTTAATAATATTGAAATAGTTTTTAAACCCCAAATGTAATTCTAATTATTAAAATGAAATATATTTTGACATTTAACATTCACATTACATGTACAAGGCACAAGCTAACAAGAACAATTAGGCAAATTCATCCTAAAACAATGTTGACAAATTGACATCCTCTGTGGATTTACTAATTTTGAGGGGGCAGGACAGTGTGGGCGATATTAAATCAGTGTTTGCCCTTCAAAATCAACAGTGACATGAAGATAAACGCTCCAGGAGTGGAACGTCCTAAATTCAAGTTCATTTCATATTAAACTGCATTCTAGGTTTTTATTAAGTTTTATGTATCTTCATTGTTTCTCTTAGACAGCAATGAGATTAAACAGAGACTTTTGTGTATATCTCTATTTTCTCTCACATAGTCAGCATATGAATTCATATATTTCTTCAAATTTTCTTCACCTTTGCAAGTTTTTTTTTTTTTTTTTTTCAGTGTCACTTCATGATGTAAATTTCTGTAAAACAAGTTATATTAACGAATGGCTGGCAACACTTTACTAAAAGGGGTGTGCATAAGACTGACATGACACCACAATCAGGACACATGTCATGAATATGAAGGAGGTTTATGACAACTGTCATTAAGTGTCATTCACTCAATTATGAAATTTTTAATGCAAATATGACAATGCTTGAGATGTATTTGTTATGACAACTGGATATGAAAATTCCCTATCATGATAATGAAGGTGTCATGTCAGTCTTATGGACATCCCTTCAAGTAAAGTGTTATCAAATGGCGTTGTCGTTTCTTTTTATATAAATTACACAAAATGTAAATTTCACATGGACGTAAATTTGACATCAGCAGCCTACCTAAAAATTATTGCAGACCAGGTAGGTACAACCCTTCATGACAATGATGTTCTCTTGTTCTCTTGTTCTCTCTCCCTGTCGCACAGCGCACATTCTTCAGGAATGGTTTGAGGAGCATGATGAAGAGTTCAAGGTGTTACCCTGGCCTCCAAATTCCAAATCAGCATTTGTGGGATATGCTGGACCAACAAGTTTGATCCATGGCAGCTCAACCTCGCAACCTACAGGACTTGAAGGATCTGCTGCTAACATCATGGTGTCAGATACCACAGGAAATCTTCAGGAGTCTTGTGGAGTTCATGCCTTGGTTGGCACAGTTTTTGGCAGCATACGGCAGACCAACAGCACATTATGCAGGTGGTCATAATGTTTTTGCTCATTTAAAATTAATAT